ATATTCTGGGAAACACGAAAATGTACATTAAGCTGTCAGTATTTCAGTGTGGATTTGCAAGAGCAGTAATGTGAAACCTGTTTATTATGTTACAATAATGATTATTATCTTGCCTCCAAGTTTTTTTGGTTTGGTATTGTGTTGTTTCCAAGTCTTCCAAACCAAGCAGGTTTCTCACACACTTCAGCAATAGCTGAATCACAAGATTTAGGAGAGCTTCAGACCGAAGGCCAGCTACTAAACTGGCCATGCAACCAGGGTCCATCAGACCCTCTAGATCACCTCCCACCCTCAAAAGCCAACAACCTAGTGCAATAGCTAAGGTGAACCTGTCTTGCTAATGGCATACGCAGAGAAGAATGGGAAGCTTTGCTAAAAGAGATAGATGTTTTCTTGACAAACCATTAATATGAGTAAGTCCTGCTACTGTCACATAGGATCAACCAGAGATCTCGATTACTGGAATATTTTAAAAAGCACCCTTAATTCAGGTAAAGCTGATGCACAGCTTCCTTAAAGTCTTTACGGTAGACAAATGAGATCTCGATTACTGGAATATTTTAAAAAGCACCCTTAATTCAGGTAAAGCTGATGCACAGCTTCCTTAAAGTCTTTATGTAAGTAGACAAATAACCTAGAAAGAATTTGACAGTTGAACTGGAAAAAAAGAAATGTCTTCTGTTAAGGATGTGGGCAGCACTAGGAAACAAAAAGCAAGCCTGCCATTAGAGCTGTGAAAGCATGAGAAAGGCTCTTACACGTAGCTGTTTCCACTATGCAGAAGCGGAGCCGCTGGTACAACAATTATTTGGATTGTGTTTTTGATGAATATCCTCTCAACTGCAGTTGTACAAAAGTAACTGGGAAGTGCAGTAGCTCCAACTTCAATACCGCCAGCCGTGAGGAAGCTGGAGGCCTCAGATGAGAAAGGGCTTCCTAATGCCGTCCTGAGGTCAAAATAACGGGTTCCAAACTCAAAACGATTCTTAAACCCCAGTTCTGAGATATTACCACATAAAACACAAAGCAAAAGTATAAAAACCTAGAAATTACTAACCTGCACTTTGGATTAACCACAATGTATGACGTCTCAAAACCAGATTAAAACCCCGACTCTTTTACCCCCTCTCCTCCAAGCTGAGGAAATGAGACTGATACTAATCTTCCTGAAGACATTTCCTTAATGGTAACAACAACTAATGAGGCAGAGACAAAACACAACACTTACATTAAGGGAAATATTGGAAAAAAAAAATCACCACTCAATAGTAGTCCTTTCTTCATCCACAACCAGTAACAGATGCTTCAGAGGGGTGATGGGAACACCCCTTCCCTGCCACCCCTGCTCTCCCTTAAAACACTAAAAACACAGTATTTTAACTTGGGGTGGGGAAGGAAGATATCTGTTGTTCTTCATCTTGGATAATGTCTGAATCAAGACGTAAAGTGTGATCACTTTCATACACATATATAACATCCTCTTGTATACATACACATGCTTTCAGGTATCTAGGTATGTGCATGGGTGGGAATACCTGCACACAGACTTGGATCCCATACGGTGTAATTTTATTCCCATAAACCTAAAGGATGCTACAATTCCTATGAAGAAATCCATACAAGAAAACAATGTGAGCAGCATTTCACTCACACCATCTGTATGACATATTGAAGAAATGAGCACAAATGTTATTGCTCACTGTTCCCTTTGGGGCACCAAATCCCCATCCCCCAGGCAAACAGAATACCCAAGATTGCATGAGGGCAGGACTATGGCTAATGTGCTGGTCAACAAAATACCACTGGGTTATGAGCCACAAGCCCCAAAAGTTCAGGAAAAGAATAATTAAAAAGGCACTCACATCCTTAGAGCAGCACATTTCTGTACCGCCTCTTAATTAATGAGTATCAAAGTGGGTAGCACTTTTTAAAAACATAGGCATCTACTTGTTTCCAACAATCTGTGGTGGTAAGTCATAACTACTGGAAGGTGGGAAAGGATTTACATATTGTACAAAATGCTGTCATCTGGAAGTGTTCATCCAAAAACAGTCAACTCCCATACAAGCATCCTGGCTCCAAAGGCAAGACAAAAAAATAGGCACTGACTTTTCTCAGTGTCACTGTTCTCTGCAAATACAAAAAGAACTTCTCAAAAAAATACAAATATTCAGGAAAGCCAAGAGAGCTATCAGAGGGCTTCCTTGGTCTTACATTATTGCTTCTGATACTATTAAAGGAAAATATTATTTGGGTGTCTGAAAAGGTTCCCCCAAAACAGCCAAAGTACCAGATGTCATACTATTGGAAAACTTCTGTTAAGGACTACTGAGATTTTTATCACAGCTTTGTCTTATTACATTACATGTATTCTATTATGAATACTGTAGTGGAAACAGAAGAAATATGTTGACTCTGACAACAGAGTAAAACTAAGTTGCTTCCCTTTGCCCTCAAGGAGGAAAAAAAATGGTATTACTTTCCCTGTGAGAATGCTCAAGATATTATGGCCAAGAGAAAGAAATACTTAGTGAAAATGGTTTAATAAACCCCAGCAGAAACAAAGCATCTTTTCACATACTTAAAAGTCTGCAAAGCTCCATGCTGACATTTGATGAATGGACGGAATAAAATGTTTTGCACCTCCTATGCCTTCTACTGATGGCACAAAGTCCTGGCTGGCACAGATGCTAGATGAGTATTACAGTTAAGAAGAGCTCCCTTCAAGTGCTATTGGATTTGCATAGTTTGAGGAGCTAAAATATTCTGCAGTTCAGTTTATTTGAAGATAAACACACTAGCAAGATTTAAAACCAAAAGAAAGTAAGCTTTTCGCTGTCTCATTTTGCTTTTAAGATACCTTGATTATAATACAGAAAAGAAGATAGCAGGAGTAAAGGAATAGCTTAAGTCTGGGAAGCAGCAAGGCAATTCATTTTACTGACTACAGCCTAGCACAACCCCAGCTCATTTCACCATGAGCTGGTTTTATGACAGCAACTGATTACTCAAGAGACTTTGTATAAGTTAATGCAAGTGGTAAGCAAGTTCGCTTTACCTTGGGAGCTTTCCTTGATTTTACAAAAGGATAAAGGAAACAAAAAAATCCACTCTCTTCCACTGCTGCTCCTTCTCTCAAAAATAGGGAAACTGAAAAATCTTGCAGCTGGGTGTGTGTCCCCCCCCCCCCCCCCCCAAAAAAAAGCCCTACAACAGATTATTTCTGACTGCTTGCATTCAAAAAGTGTTTTTCTAGAATGATGAACAATCCTTAACATATTTGATTGATGATTATTGACCCAGGGACACAGCTCCACAAGTACTGGACTAGATACTCAAAGTAAATGTGTTCTCCATTAAAAAAAGTACATTAGATTATTTTTATCTCAACAAGATATTAGTACCACTTCTCAAGTCATCATGTCAGAAAACCAGAGCATAAAACCAATTTTTAAATAGAAACACTTTAAAAACATATTCAAGGAAAACCAAAACCTTATTAACATGAAGCTTTTGTTCCGAGACCTGTGGTTTATGTCAGAGCAAATGTTGATGACCAACACAATATGAATTTTGTTGCAGTTGCAATTAAAAAAAAAGGGAGCTACTTTTGAAAAAAATGCAGCACCAAGCTAAAGCTGATGGTCTGTCCTTTCTTGTATGAAGGAACAGCTCACCTATTGCTTGCATTTTAGAAGGCTGACATGTTAATGGCAGCACAACAAGTCTGCTGCGGAGGACAAGCAGTTCGTGGCTCTGCCTGATAATTCAAGTCAGATTTCTGCTCGATATATGAAAATGTGAATTAGAGCTACTGATACTGTATGTGCTGTGAAACACACAAAGATCACCATGAAATGCTATTAGAAGACTGAGGCTTTGTCTGTCAGTCACTTACTTGCTGATCCCAGCCTGTCAACTGTCACTCTCTGCTGTAAAAAGCTGTCCATGAAAATCTGCCATAGCCTCCATTATCCCCAGTGTTTTAGCATAAGATAATAAAATATGTATTGGGCCAGAACAGTAACAAAATCATGCCTGACTGCTCTTGTTGAGTACAAACATGAGAGTAACCTCAAAAATCTCTAATTGGCTTGCCAACACTTGGCATTTTTTATTATTTTCTAGTCACAAGGGTGACATGAGTTAAATATGCTTAGATTCTTTGTTAAAATTATTAGTTTGCTTTTTTCTTTCTGTGTCATAAACAGCATCTTTGCATTAAAGAAAACTCTAAACTTATTACCAAATACCTTTTTCTGGTCATTTTGACAGCAGTTCCACTTCTACGGAATAATTTTTTACCATGCATTTATTAATTCCTTCATTGTTCATGGTAACCCCCTATTTTAAATAGGCACAAGCTCTTGAGTGATTTTGACAGGCTCGTGACTCAGTCTTCTCACCACGGGTTGAAATAATGACACCGAAGGGAAAATTTTGCCACCTGGAACTCAGCTGACACTGAAGGAACAAATCCAGAATTCCTCTAGTATTATAAAGGGATCAGTAACATATCAGCTTCCCTTCTGCTTCTGACCATTCTGGTTTATTTTAAATGAATGCAGGAAAAAAGGAACAATACGAAAGCGAAATATATGGAAGAGAAAGAACCCACAAAAAAAAAAAGAACAAAACAAATAAACTAAATCTCTACCTGGCATTTTGTCAAACACACAAAGTCTTACTAGGAAGGCACTAATGAAAGAGCCAGTCTCACTGCTATCCAAGTGAACTGAAAATTGTCATATAGTATCCACAATGCATATAATCACGTATGATGTCACTTTTGGGGAGAAAAGCAGCTCTTCTAATGAAGAGATTAAGCTAAATGAATACAGGGATTAAAAAAAGGTTAAAATGAAGTACAAGCGCTCTTTCTGGAAAAGAATTCCTTTCCAAGCATTGTGTGAGTGTTCAGGAAGCGGCAAGCAGCAGTGCTGGCGACAGCAGGGCGCTGTGCTGAGCAGCTTACTGTGCAGCCAAGCATTCATACTGACCTGCCCCAGCATGTCTGGTGCGATGGGAAACGTGGGCCAGATGGCCGAGTAGACACCGAAGAACATCACCCAGAGCAGCATGCTTCCCCAGACGGCCAGGTGACTGAACTGTCAAGGAGCAGGGAAAGAAGGAGAGTCAGCACAGGGCACTTCCTCCATCCACCTAACCTATAGAATATTTCTCTGTTCAGGTCGCTGTTGGTCTCACTCAGGCCTGTCTACCACACTTGGTTTCAGGCCAGTAGCACAGGTTGTTTAAACAGCATAAACCAGTTCTCCTCTTTAATCTTTGCCTCGCGACAGGGCAGACAGATAGTCTTCTCAGCCAATCTGTCTTACTTGGAGCTCCAAAAACTCATCAGATTTTCCTTGGAACTCTGATTTCTCTCATCTAGCTCCTGCTTCCTGTTGTGCACATGCCAGGTTCAACACATACATCACGGCAGAAATTTTCAAAGACTCAGGTTAAAGTTCACATGGACAAATCCCTTATGGCAGAGTGTATGCATACAAGCCATGTGCACCACTCATATACCTTTCACAGAGGAAGATTCAGTGCTGTGTAATACACTACCACAATCAACATCTACTGATCAACTTCTTTTTTTGTTTTAAAGGTGTCCTAAGTGATTTACAGATATGCAATGCAGTTTACATCTTTACAGGTTCTTTAGTCTGTAGACTCACTAAGAGTAAACAAAAGCAGTATTAAAGTGATCAAGAACATATCCAGCACAGACTTCGTTTCAGTAGCATTAAAGAAAGTCATTTTTCCTACACACCCAAACTGTTTTGCTGTTCAGGATGATTTAAGCAGTTTTACTTTTACACTGCAGTGGATGGAATCAGTAATTTCAGTTGCAACACGCAACTGAGCTCATTATTGGCTCCAGCTTTTTTGGATGCCAACAACTCCTGTGGCTGATGACTTTGGCTCCAATTCAGAGAAGTACCTGCATAAATCTTAATTACTAATTACATACGGGTTTAGGAACATGGGAACAAATTCACACACTGGTTGCTGTGGTGGACACAGTGTGTTTTGTTTAGTTCTCAGCTTTATACTTTCTATTTGATGATTGTATTTGTTGACTTTTTGAACAGTATGTCTGAGAACCAAAGAAGTGTCTAACCAAGTATTGTATTCTGCCCACTGTGAGATAGATACAAACTTCTGGAAGGAAAAGATTGCTCCTCCTCTGGAAGCACTGAGCACCCTCGGAAGGGAGAGCTTTCTCCAGCACAGGCAGCAAAAACAAACAAGCAAGGAGTCTGCAGCACCAGTGCAGACTGGCAGATAGCTGGGAGCAACTGGAGGCTGCCTTACAGTAGCAGCATTCATATGGCAAAATGTCAGAGGCAATGGAAAGTGCCTCTTCTAGGTACTCTCAGAAAGCTGGAATTTTGTTCAACCCTAAAAGTTGCTGGGCTAATGAGCAGGACATAGGATAGGCCCCTTCCTGGAGAGACACAGTGGGCAGAAAGATTTGTTTTCAAGTTTTGCTATTTACTCTATTTCACCCAGGGACCAGCAACTGCTTTATTTAAAACAAGCAAACCAACCACATTTTTTTTATTCAGTTTTAATGTGAATAAAACTAAGAGCTGGAAGGATTTTTTTTATTTTAACACTTTGAGGAAGGGGGGGGGATTTTATCCTTTCAGTCTACTTGCTTTTCTGAAAACTAGGGACAATTCATGTCAAGATTCTGACTAAAATAAAGCCCTGCCACAGTGAGCAACTGTACTGCTCAGCTCCCCAAAGAACAAGTACTGCAAGGCTGCCACAAGAATTCGTCTTAAAGAAAAGCCAGCCCCATCCAATGGCAGAGCAGCACCAGCACTGCTTTCCCAAAAGGGCATGACACCTTCTCTTGAGCCACAGCCTTCCTTCCAAGCAAGTGGACAGAAGGCTCAGGATAGCTTGGACTGATGCTTCCAAGCTGCAAACTCTACAGACTTCAGGATTAAAAACAGTAAACATAAAAGCAAGCAGGGAAACAAATCTAAGATATACTCTTATTTTGTAGGAGGTATATTTATGCTAGGGAAATGACATCTTTTTTTTGTCTCCCTTCTGTTTTTCTTTCCAGTCTGCTGGTAGGACACTTTCTGAGTTTTGCAGCTCTTCATCTTGCCCTTTCCAGCTCAGCAAAGCTTTTGCTCATTTTATGTTGTCTTTATCTTCTTCTCATGGTTGTCCCAATCATCTCTTCATCTCAGGCTTGTAGCTGCCCGAATTGCTTCTCTACCTTTAAAAGAGCTTCTGCCCTCCTTGCCCTGCTTGGAAATGTTCCTTATACACTCACCCCACCAGCCTTTGCACTGTTGATTCTCCACTGATCTCTGTCATTTACCCCTGAAGAATTCATGTGCAAAGCAGAAGCGAGTCCATCAGATGTGTTAAATGAATGACAGTCAGAAAAAAAGAAATCGAGGCTCTCACATAAAAACTAGACACACTGTATGGCTATCCTGTGCATCCTATTTATCTGAAATAGTTCATATAGTGTGGTAAAACAGTGAAGAAAGCTGTGTGTGTTTGGGAAAAAGCCTGCTGCAGTGTTCCAGATAGGTAACACGTAACATGAAGCTGCTCCACACAGCTCCAATATGCGGATTTTGTTATGCATCGTGTTACCACTTTTACCAAAGCCTTTCTTTCCACGCTACCTACTGGATATACCAGGCTCCCAACCACTCTGAATCTGCAGTATTTATTTAAAGCTTTCAGCTGAACCCATCATGTTCTCCCAAGTGGCAGTGTCCCTCTCACTCTCAAGAACAAACTGCATGTAACCAATCCACTTGATGATGGAGAAGTGGCTTAACTCAATGTTGTACGTTTAATACTTTTCAAGTAACCTAAAAGATTCTCTGTGTGTTGATTCACTCACAGCTGAAACAATAATTGTAACCAACATCATGTTCCAAGATGATGAGAGTCACTGGTCCAAGCAATGGGACAGGAATTAGAAGTGTATATAGAAAAGAGTTGATTCTAAACACAATGACTTTTCTGTGCATAACAGTAATTTCTCTATAAAATGCCAGTGTTACAGAACACTGAGATCTACTGAACATTATGGTATCTTTTAAAATAAAATTTAGGAAAGAGGGGATCATGATTATCCCCAAGTGACTGAAAAGATACCAATTACCCAGGGAAGGGGAGAGAGGAGGAAGCATCAAATAATTCACAACATAACAGGATCTAAACAGGCTCACATACCTCCAATGCAAACTAGGATATATCCTCGTCTAGTGCATGAGGGATTAATTTAAGTATTTTTGCATTTTAAAATACTGGTATACAACACAACTTATGCATAAGCAACAGCAAAAAAAGAACAGATTTTATTTTCATATGAGAGAATGAGGCACAGAATATTAGCATCTCCCAAATAATTAACCCATACAGATAGCATTTCATCTTTAAAATTCAGAAAAGATATCAGCTCATCAATCTTAACAATTCCTCTGTGAGGAATGAAAGAAAACATTTTACAACTAACAGAAGCGAGGAGGTTACGGAAATTTAAGCCAAACCCCTCCAAGAAACTGGTAAAATAAGAATATGAGAGTCCTCAAAACAGCTTGGTCTTGAGGACAGAGTGTCTTAGTATGCCATGAAAACTAGAGTCCCGTAACGTATCTCATAGGTGTAGAGAAACAGGGACTCCATCAAAATCAAAAGATTAGTGTTTCAGAGGGGCTGGGGGAGAGAAGGGTGTTGAAGGTTCATCAACACAGTAACCCTCCTACCCCCCATATTCTTCGGAGGTCACTGCCCTGCCAGATTTCTGACACCTACCAGTAACAGAACACTCACTCATTGCAAGTAAATGACTCAAATCTAGGAATCAACATAACCATTTGATTAACATCCTTATTACTATAAGTTTCCGAACAAAAAATCTCATCCAATGTGAAGCCACTAGTGCTTTTTACTAGCTTCAAAGACATTTTCAAAGCTCAGTTGTTTATCTGTGGGCAGACACCTTTCATTCCCTATTGCATTAATTTTTAAAGGAGCTACAGAGTAGAAAGATGACGTTCTTGATCTATTTCCTCAAGCAATTACAGTAGTATGTTGATTTCATGCAAAGTTTTCTCAATTTTAAATATTTAGAGATGTTGCCAATATACTTTTAGTGTTTTCTTCCCACTTCTGACAGACTGCCCTTTTTCATCACACATCATGTGACCTACGAGTTCATTCTCCTCTCACATCCTGTACTTATGGAGCTTAGCAGTTTATCCTTACACAAAAGTTCCAATTAAAAGACTGAAGCCTCAAATTAGATTTTTAGTACTTCTTTTCTGTATTAATACTCATTAGGGAGAAAGGTGTGCTAATAAAATAAAAGATACCGAAGAGCACTTACTCTAGTCCACGCAGTCGTTTCCAAGCCAGCTTTCAGACAAACAGTGACTACAACATACTGAAAGGAAAAAAGAAAAAAGACAACTTCAGTATTAACACTTTCAAATTCAAAGGTGTTCATGGCCCAATCTCCCCTTTACACCTAAAAAGTTTCTACCATTTAGGTACCAACCCAGGGCCTTGGCAGTGTGGGATGGGGGAAGGACAGAGCAGAAGATATTGTTGGTGCATGTCAGGGGCGGGGGGGAAGGGGGAACGACAACAAAAAAGAAAAGAGAGGGAAAAATCATGCACACAACATAAGTTTTATTTTGCTTGTATACTTTCTTCTGATTTACACCATTTTCTCATGGTATAAAAGAACTGTAAAGAAATTCTACCATTCAAAAATTGCTAGGATACACAAACTTACAGTGTAAACTATGTTTCCAACAAATAAATAGTCAATTCCCTGGCCATTTGTGAATACTGCATCTGAAAGAAAGAAAAATTATCACATTTGTTAATCAGTTTATCAACAGAATGGATGAAATAACAAGGAGATTTTCAGGAGAAAATAACCGCTCCCAACCTTGCCTTTTAGGATGTCTAAAAGCACTTTTAAAAGCTGTGAGATAATGGTAATGCACAAGCTGTGCTAAGCCAGGCCTCAGACACAATGCTCAGATAGAGCATATATCCACAGTCCTCGTTGCCAGAAGCCATCCTAGCAAAAGGGGAAGTGTTTGCCAGACCCTAATGTGTCATTTGTCTATAAGAGCTGAGGTATGCCAGTGTCACTTTTTCTCTCGCTATCTGTTCTGTACTACTTATTGACACCTCTAACAGATCCCATTATTTGCTGTGCCTGTGGAGAAAAAGCCTGTAAAACGCCAGCTGATCTGTGGTGAAATGGAGCTGAATTAAGAAAAGCCACAAAAGATTCAGCTATAAAAGGACACATGTAGTATCTAAAATATCTTACTGGAGGTTAATTCAGTAACTGAGCAGCATTCAGTCCCCATGCACCCTTTCTCTATAGTCAAGTATGCACAAGGGTAAGTACATGTTAATCTATCATTTGAAAGTGCCAACCTTGGCAGTACTTCAAATGTCTGTTTAGTCTTTCTTAGCCCTTGTTGAATAAAACCGGAACACCATGAAAGCACATTCGACAGCCACGCTAACACCAAACGAACTTGTACTCACAGGAGCTTTCAAGCATTACTCAAGCATGATAAGTATTGCTACTTTCACAGTTTTTAAGACAATTGCTAGAGAAATACACAAACAGCAGGGATGAAAAAGGCTTAAGATAAAACCTTGGACCTGTTCCTGAACACATACTGCCTACCACAGTGCTTCTACTATTATGAGGGTACCACTTTGCTAGACTTATTTGCAAAACTGGATCTGACATTCTTAAACTAAGGTCCTCTACTTAGTTAACTACGCTCCTGTAACATAGGTCTCCAGGATCAGTAAATTTTTAAGTCTACAGAAAAGAGTCCCTGACACCCTGACTTCTGTGGTGACTCCTCTGCCCAGCTTATGGGTAAAAAGACTATTTATTTAGTCAGTGCAGTTACCCCAAGCTACTTGTTATGGTTTTCTTCTACAATGGCTGCATGTGGTTGTCTCCAAAGAACTGACAGGTTGTGAATATTTTCCAGAAGTTGCTGGTTCTATATACCTGCTTTCTTTTCTCTTTTGAACCTCAACTACTAAGAAACAGCAGCAGATAGACTAGTCACTAACATTGCAACAGGAGCTAAAGCCTGAGACAGCTTGGTTAGGAATTGGTTTGGTTTCTAGCCACCATCATCTCTATCAGTCCAACTCTTCCCCTGGTACTCTGTGGCTTCAGGCATTTACCACATCATTCACAAATACACATCAAGTTTTAACAGTCACTTTGCTCTTTCCTCTAGTGTCAATGAAAAAGGTGAAGAGCACTAGAGAATTTGAGCCTTCCATGTCTGATGAACCCTGCTGATGCCAGAAGTCTCAGTTTATTAAGAAAAAGGCATGCCTAAATACATATCAGTTTTGATAGATCTAGAATAAACTGACCTAATGACTCTGCCAGTATTTTGCTCTAGTGCAACATCACAGTGCACGTTTAAGTAATTGAATAATTTTTGGTGTAAGTCTCTTTTTTCAGAGTTACATTTTAATGCAGTAAGTTAATGCCTTTTTTTTTCCCCCCAGTGATTTCCATGACCTTCCACTTTGGGAGGCTAAGCAGTCCTGAAAGGAATGATATTTCTGTTAATGAGAACAGCAGGACACTCAGTGAACATTAATTTCTAAAGCTATACAAATGCTCATTCATGGACTTTATGCACTTCACATTCTAAGGAACTCAAGAGGTTAAAAAACATCCTAGTGTGAATGGCACATTTTTGTCTCTGGCACTGAAATCCCTTTTTCTCTTGGAAATACAAAGAAACTTGAAAATTCAATATTCGTTCCTCTTCGGAAAGCAAACTAAGCAACCTATTCAAAGGAACTCCGAAAGTTACCATTTGAGCGGGTGAGTATTCCAGTCTCATCGTTTCAGTTGTTGAAATGAGAAGTACATTATCTATTTAGGAATTAGTTAGAAAAACATTTATGGAAGGCTAAAACAAAACCTGTATTTTTCTTTAACTGTAACCACTACAGACATCAGCCTAAAATTTCTGAAGTTGGATTTAAAGAAGAGCTATCCGAGATTAACATTTCTCAAAAATAGTGAAACAGAAAAACAAAACCCCCCAAATCAAAACAAAAACCAATCAACCATAAAAACCCCTCTCCCCCCAAACTGAACCGAGCTCCCAGCCCACATACGGAGAAAAGGGAAGGCCCTTTCTTGTATGGTCCATCAGATAGCGTGTGAAGCTGCCACTAAGGATACAATACTGACATTTTACTCAGCCAGGTAAAGAAACATGAACCTGCCTCCCACAAGTATCTTTACCATCATGCCTCTGATGTGAGCATTCATCTTCCCTCCCCTTCCATTTTCTTTCACCTCCTCCCCAATTAATCCATCCTGGAGCCGAGAAGGTTTTCTTGAAATTAGTGTTTTCCAGGAAAGAGTTTCAGTTTTGAAAAATTCGTGGGTTTAGATAAATACTATTCCCCCCCTCCACTGCCCCAAAATTCTTCATCTGATCTAGTCCTATTTCTTACAACAGTAAAAGAACAGATTTCTTATGGTTTTTCCTGCCCACACAACTATATTGTAAAGCTAGGTAGGAACCATATGGGATTTACTGTTCTGTGAAATACCATGTAGTTGCATTACCTTTCATGGAAAGCAAGACTTAATAAGCCTAATTTGTACAACAGAAAGTCTCTCTCATTTCCCCAATATCTCTGACTCTTGATCTGGTCTACTTCCATTCCAGCCAATTCATTTTTTCCACAGACTTCAACAGTAGTGAAATCTATATTTTATCCTACATTTTACAGTACTGTGTTATGGAATGGGAAAGATCCAACAAGATATAAAGCAAATGGTTGTAATACAGCTGCTGTAAGAACATTGTAAGTAAAAAGTTGAGATCTCAACCCACTACAAAAAAAAATAAGGCATTGTATAGAACATTATTCAGTATTTGAGTAAAACCTTTTGGCAAAGCAGCAGTTTAATTTTTCATGTATTAAAGTCACTATACGAACAATAATTATATTAGAGTAAATTCTGAAAGCCACTAGGTAACTAGCCAAGTTCAGCAGCTATAGCCTATTGAACTGTCTGTCAGCATTATTTTCTTGGGACTCGTCATGACCTCCTGTTCTGCAAACACACTGGGCTCTGTAGGACTGAACATCAGTTACTGACGTAAGAAATAATGAAGCCCTTACCATGCTCCAGCACTTTCAGTGGAAACCAGAAGAGAATGATGGAATGGATCAGGGCATTGATGCAGTGACCCCAAAAAACCTGAGGGAAAACAAACCAAGTCATCAGTAGAGTCCAAAACTCTTGACCTCTCTCCAACTCCTAACAAACACTTCATTGTGTAGTTTAGAGTCAGACAATGTTTGTCCTGAACTGAAATACCTAAGGTTCTGCAGGATCTATTTCCTCCTACAATTTCTGCTCTTTCATAAGAAAACATTGGTCCAGTTGGATTGTTTTATTCTAACAACTTAAAATATAATAGGCAAGCATGCTTGCAATTTAAGATCTTTATCAAAATACAGCAAACAAATGGAGTCACCCTTCTTTAATTACCTCAAAGAATGATTTTAAAAGACTGATTCAGTACTATGAAACATTCTATTTCTTTTAATGAGCAAATACTTTGCGCCTCACCATTTTTAACTTACAGATAATGCCATTTTGGACAAACTAGAGCTTCACGTACTCTACAATTTCCTCTCTAAACAAAGTAATTGTAGAGCTTCCTTGCTTCAGAAGTACATTTAGATGTGCCTGTTATGGAATAAAGACACAATTCCAAATGCTGGCATTTTCCAGCATTTAAACAGCAAAATGAAGTAAAATGTGTTCTTCAAAACTCAAAGTTCAAATAAACCAATTCAAATTTTATTTTCCAAAAGAACTACAGGAATAGAGCTATACTAATTGTGAAAAAGCGCCCTAGTAGACAGCATGATGACAACTTGTATATTAAATAAAATCCAGGTGATGTTATCCAGTTCCTATGAAAATTATAAACTCGCCATTTAAGTAGTTGTGAATTAAAAAAAAAAAAATCATACTCAGATACAAATCTTACTTTGAATCAAAGTTTACAGATATTTCAGGACCAGTTTCAGTTGAAGCCATACCAGAAAATCCCTATTTAAAAAAAGTCCTAGCTTTTAAGTAAAAAAAATGTAATCCTTTGCAAAGAACCAGGAGGCAGAACAATCTTAATCTCAGTGGCTAGCATAAAGCAGAAGTAACAGTGGGGAATAAGTTATTTTCTGATGAGAAAGACCTGGGAAATAAGATGCTCATGGTTATTCTTAACGAAACAGAGACTTTTCCTTACCCTTGTGTTGAACCCATCTGCATTTTGAGTAATTTTGTATAGCTGTGGAAATCTAAGCATGCTATCTTGAGTACATGATCGTTCAAAAATTCCCAGAGTAAAGGGTGGCAGTGCTGTGAAAATCTGCAAGGAAAGCAAATACTAATTAAAAGCAGCTATTAGTTTTAAGTGGATCTCAGATAATATTTCAGTATCTAGACAACAGCAAAATTCCCCACAGACTTCAGTGAAGACTTATTACCAACTAGCATGTTATTTGACATAATTTTCAAATGTCCAAACATGAATTTCAGCAATTCATAATTCTCAAATATTGACTTATGAACAAAAGAAGCATGAAAGAAAATTCTTACTATTAACCAGTTAGCTAGCTTAAACACAAGGAGTTAAGCATCAGTAGTTTCTGATGTACCAGCTAATCTAGTGAGGGTAAAACACATTAGACTGCAAAGGAAAGACAACATGTACTTCTTCAAAAAAGCCTTGTGGGAATGGATTCAAATACAGCTGCAATTGTAGCCATAGTTAAATACGTAATATGCTTAACCGAAGCTAAGTTTACAGACAAAGCAAATGTGGAAATCACATTAAAAAAAAATCTACTGAAAAACAAAGGCCATTCTGTATTATGGTACTTTGGGGATTCTCCAGGCAGGCATGAACTGATAGGAACAAATTAACTGCAGTATGTGTCTGTGCTATGGGCAGACGCTTAGATGACCAAGCCTCGGAAGCTTTCCAGGAGAGGCAGCAGGACACTTTGCCAGAAGCAGAGTAAATTAGCCTCTGAGTCCCACATTGCTGCTTTTGAAGTGTTTCCAGGATCTGAGGCAGCTCATTTAAAGCCAGCTTGGGTATCTACGTTTCTTGCAGTCTGCAGTGCAGGCATAGAGTGAAAATAATACCAGTGTGCATGTCTGAATACTAAACTTCATTCACTTCCTTTTACATTAACAGTTTATATCGGAAAAATAATTTCTAATCCTATACATACATATATTTTTAACAGTTTGAGAAGTGTTCTTGAAGTTAAGAAGCAGCTTGAAGTTATGAACTGTTTCTAGCGTGTGTGCATGCTTGCAAAAGTTGGGCTGTGGTTCTGACCAGCAGCGAGTTGGCAGTCGAGGAACAGACAAAGAGCAACACAGAGGACTAGAGACTAGTGAGAATCAGTAATTACATCCTAGATCCAACTGGGAATGCGCTTCTTTTGCTCATAAAGTGATAAACCAGATGGTTAAAATGGCAGCAGACTGGGGGTGGGGAACTGAAACTAAGACCACTGGTCCAATGTGTTCCAAAAAAGGGCATGTTCTCATACAGCTTTAAGGTATTTCCCCAGGTTTCCTGTGTTTATTGGGGCATTTACATTCTCACTTGAAGTAAATCTTCTAGTGTTTTTGTTTATGAAGGTAAACCAGTGCAAAAGCAGGAATAACAATGCTACTATGATTTTCTACACTTAATACTTTAATGAGACTATTAATGAAATAAAGGGTTAATCTGCACAGAAGAGAATGACAGAGCTAAAACCACTTTAAAATCTAACCCCTTCAAACTGTGGAAGTCCCTAATACCCTACCAGCACCTGATTCTTCATGAGTCTATGCAACCAGTTCTAATTTTAGAAAATACTGACCTTACAAAACAAGGGTTAATTTCTACTTCACTGATTCTAGAAGATGAGTTTCATCCATGAGCTTTATGTAGGGTAGGTAGATACATCAAATCAGGTTTAAAGATAATAGATGCAAATATCTAAACATGAATGACAGACTGAGTAACGGTCAGGAAATTAGGGTGAAGAGAATCAAGGGAGTGGAAAATCCCTGAATAAGTATCTTCCACGAAGAATATGAAATCTTATGGAATATGCGGGTTTGTGCCATCGTTTTTAAGATTAATGTGACAGAAGTTAAGCATTTCCATTAATACTACTCAGTGATAGAGATAATTTGCTGGCTTTTTCTGTATTAACATATATTTGGAATGAGTCTGCTTAAGAAAAAAGTTAAATTTCTTCCCTCCAAAGAGAAATGCAAAGGATTTTTCAGCATTGACAAAGTGTCCTAATGGCTTATAAATCCAGACACCAGGCCACCCATCAGTAACATTACAAAGGTAACACTGTTGAAAACACCAGCACAGGTCTATGGTATGCTATGGAACTTGGTCCCGGAGATCCTCCAGACTTCAATCGAAGTTACTGATTAAATACTATTATTGATTAAAGTGATAAAACCATGTGGCAGTGTGGCACCCAGCAGAGCGTGGCGAAAATCAGAAATCACTCCTGGACTGACACATCCTGCTCTTGGTTCAAGTGAAAAATGCTGGTGACACAGCGATGCTACTTCCCATTCTGTACCTAATGTAGCATGAGTCAACCCAAAGCATCTGCATGACACTTCTCTGAGCATCTAACTGTTACAGAGTCTGAGAAAAAAAAAAATCAAAACTCAAAGGTTAAGATTCTGTATCTATTTTGAACATGAACAGTCAGCAAAATATTCAGTACAAAAGACTGAAGATGCTTTTGAAGAAGAAATTAAATTCCATCTAAAAGCTGCAGAGTTTTATGGAGGTTATATTAGGCCAAAGACATGTATTTTCAAGGTGTTTTCCCAAATTTATTTTTGTGATAAAAACACCATCCAAAATGAAGTTTTTATCTACCTCAGGGTGGATTAAAAAGGGCTTTTACAAGTGATGTCACCTTTCCTGACATACATCCAAGACAGTTACCCGTAAGAAATGGGACACAACAAAATAATACACAAGTCCTGACCACTATCAAGTCAAAACATGTAGCACTTACCACATTATACAGACCAATGCACCATCGCTCAAATAAGATCTGCCCAGAAAATCCATTAACGAAAGCAAACCAAAGCTGAAACAAAGACAAGTTACAAGAAGCTTTAGATTACTACTGCAGTATATGTGTCCATTTACAGTAGAAGAGAAGGATGTGGAACACAGACCACCATCTGGAGACAGTTGCTTGTCATGCTCTAAAAATGATCATCAGCAGTGCCAGGCAGTTATTCTCTTCTAGAGTCTTACATTTTAAATACTGCTTATTTAAAATAAAATACTCAGGTGATAGAGCAATTTGTTGTATTTGCATCATTACTCTAAAAAAATAAATGGCCTCAAACTATTTCAAAATCCTTATTGCTGGCAAATTAACATGCTTGAAGCCAGAAGCCAACCCAGTTTCCATCATGGTCAGCAGAGACCAGAATTTTCAAGGTAAATGTGTTTTGATGGATGCTCTGCTTGACTTTTGTGTCCTATTTTTACAGTCCCAGAATTACAGTGATACCAACTTATCAGTTAAATAATCATAATTATATTACAATTTTATTGTCTACATGTTGTAAACATTACTATTTAATAAACTACCCATTTAATAATTAAACATTGGAAGAGGTTGCCCAAAGAGGCTGTGGAGTCTCCATCCTTTTACAAGTTTGCAAAACCCAACTGGGCAAGCTCTGAGCAACCTGGTTTGAATTTAGTGTTCACCCTACTTTAGGCAAGAGGTTGGACTAGACAGCCTCCAAGTTGCCTTCCAACTGAGGGGATTCTGTAATGCCAAGATCCCAGCAGACTGCTGTAAGCAGCAGTGCATAGGTAAACTTTTCAGCATTTCCTTGGACCTAGCTTCCTTGAGCCTAGTTCTTATCTTGTTTAAGCAGCTTTTTGAAACAAGAACTGCTTTACTGGGTTGGAACAAAGTTTCTTTCTCAGTCAGTGGGCATTGAAAGAAGCTTAGGAAAGAATATAAGAAAGAAGGGGAAAAGTTATCTTTCCCCAAGTAAATTTGAGATGAAAGGTCTTGGGTACAAAGCCTGAGGTCCCAAAAAGAAACCACAATTATTTTGGGGCTGTCAGGTAAGGAATTTGAGGGTTTCTTCTCCTAGGAAGAAACAGAGCTTTAAACAAGCATACTCCCAGATATTTAGCAATTATGATCTAGGTGTTTATCATCTCCAGGCTTCTTGCAATTAATTGCAACTATGAATGAGGGCAGCAATCCTAGAAAACATAAATAGCTCACAAATCAGAAGCCTGTCTGCCTAACTGGCAACCTCAGCCTATGCTCTGCTCAGTTTTCTAGACCGACTGGGCAAAGTAAACTTCAAAAGTTTGGTAGCAAATGTTGAGGGCTTTTATGACATTGGCTCATGCTACTTAGGAGGCCATTGCTTTCTGAAACCATAGCCTCCCACAACTAGTCCTCCAGCAACAGACATTTCTGATTTTCCATCAAGAGGGTAAAACAAAGCAGCCACACTTTCTGTAGCTGGCCCATGGCTAGAAGAAAAGTCCCAAACCAGGCAAAGCTAGTACCTTAGATTCACATTTCCCAACAAAAAACATCAGCAGTAATGAAGATAATAATCATATAAAACTTGGAAAAAGCAAAGCTGTTAAGATGCATTACAAAGCAGCAGACAGACTGTCAAAGTACTAGTGAAATATACCCTCTCAACAAACCCAATTCTTTCTACTCAAAGTTCTTACCCTACCATAATTGGGTGATGCAGAATTCATTAAAGACCCTGCTAAAACCATATTGAGATTAGTCCATCACTATAGGAGATGGATGTGTCTGACTGTGGTAAATAGATACCTAGGTGTCACCGCCTTTAGTCTTTCAACATTGAAAGAATTTTCTACAGAAAAGTTTTCTCCTTATTTCAAGGCTGTATGATTTAGGTGGGCAAGAACTAACATCAGAAAGTTCAATGTTCTGCTATTTGAAAAGCCAAATTTGAACTATTTTTCTTTTGGCAGGATCCATACAGGTGAAAATTAGAAGGGAGCACATTCCCAACGCTTACACAAGTCTGCATGCACCACAGGCTCCAAACAGAGGGCCAAAGCTGTTACAGTTACAACACACTGAAAAATAATGGCTATGCTTGTCTTTTCCAGAGATTCACGTTATCAAATGCCAATCGACAGAAAGAATGCTGTATACTTCCTCAATATCTTAATGTCAAGAGTAAATCAGATACTCTGGGTAAAATATACATTTATTTCAAGTTTAACACAAGCCATAAATTGTCATGCATGGTTTAAGGACCAACTGTTTCTACGAGAGAGTATGATATTCCTTAAGGTCAAAGAAGAAAAACAAACCAAAAAAAACCCCTCCACCTCAACGTTCCTGTTAACAAAGTGTACTAAATACATTTGAAGTTGCTACAACCCATGCTTGACTCAGAGTTGGTAAACTGGTAGGAAAACTTGCCAAGTCTGCCTGGCTTGCCAAGCTCCAGGGGTTTGCAGGGCTCAACTCCAGTACTGCTATGAACAAATGGATCCAAAGTTATTAAACTGCTTTTCTGGCTGGAAAAAAAAAAAAATCTTTTCACTTTAACTATTACCTGGCTGCCAAAAAGCTGGAAAAGCTTATTTGTAACTCAGCTACAAAATACATATTTTTCTCCCAAGGAACAAGAGGTCCAATTTAAACGTAAAGAAATTCAGACCTAAGGCTGAAATCTGGGTTGATATATTGCTGTGCTTTATTATAGCAGATACTGCAAAGATCTGAAACCAGTAGGTACTGTGCACAAAGAAAGTGGAACATGTTGCAAACTGAAAACCAGCCCATGTTTCCTGCCTTGAAGTGTGGCCGCATTCTTTAAATAAGAAACCCCACTGCTGAAGCACTCGATGCCAGCTGTGATGTGGGCACTTCGCCACTAGAGAAGGGGAAAAAAAAGAAAAAAAAAAATCAGACTGCTGCCTCCTTCCAGAGGTCAACAAAAGCCAACAGATGGTAATACTTGGTTAATATTGACTTGAGCTGCAGGCAAGCTGAGGATCTCAACGTAAAACAGTCCCGCACTGCTGTTTTGAGCCACACAGCCCATCCACCTGCCCTAGAATACATTTTGAGAAAAGATCAAGTGTTATTTTCAAAAAATATTCCCACTGGAGCAAGTTGGAAGGCAATTTTAATTGCATTATCACTTCATACATAATTACCGCAACATTAATGCCTGAAATAGCAGGAACTAATTTATTTAAGTGCTCTAAGGCACTGGGATAGCAAATCATCTATTCTAAACGTGTATATTTATGATGTCTCGATAACAGACAACTTAACGAGTACTAGAAATGTTTTCCCAATTCTGCTAAAGGGCACAGAAAGCTAATGTAGTCAGGGTATCAACAATTGCCACAGGCACCAATTATAGCCAGACTGGATGCCTTTACTATTCAGAAATGAGTTAAATTCTCAAAATATCCTCTGTCAGCGCACACACATTTTGCATGTTCTTACCAAATAGGCTCATTTACACTTTGCCTAATAAAGCAGGTTTGTGTGTCTCCTGTGCAGTTCATTAATAATGTATCCTGATTAAAAACCTCTCGTTACAGATGTCTCCCTCAATGCTAGGCTCTTATTCCTGCCCAAATGCACACAGCCTTAAAATAATCCCTTCATTAGAGAATGTACAGCACCAATTTTATAACATAGGTAAAGAGCCTTACTAATAAGATTTGACAGGGTAGGCATGGCTGCCTGAGACTCACTTGATTTGCCAAGGAATATTTCCCTTGCTCCTTTTATTCCCCCCACTGTTTATTAACTCTTTGCTGAAAACAGATCAGTATTTTTCAATTGAACAGCATTTGCTCTAGGCCTGTGCACCCCAAACAAGTGCCCATTTAAGCTTAAAAATAATCTCCAATCTTCTCTGCCAGTGTTAACAATTATTTAGTTAGTTATTTAAAGTTTCATGCTGCTTTTGTCTCATTAAAAAGACCCTATGCATTTACTGCAAGGCTTGGTCAGATAAATAGATATCAAAGCAACCGATACAATAGAGATTTCCTGGCTTTAAACACTAATTTATTAAATAAGCCTGAACAGCTGTTATTTCTTCTATTGCTGACTACAGTTTATATTTCAGTATAGTAAAGAGCACAGTTTTATCAGCTTCATCTTTCTCTGCTTATAGAAGAGGCACATGCAGAAAATTTGATTTCTTCCTTATACATGTTGTTTCCATGCTCCTCTTCTCTAACCAATCAACTGCTGACATCCTTCCTCCAAAGCACAGGTCACATTCAACAGGAGAGGCAAGCACAGAGCAGAACAGAAGGGAGAGGGGCATGAGGGGCAAGAGGAGCATCACCCTGCAGTTACACAGACTAGCAATTCTTACAATTTAAATCCTCAGAATAATTCTGAAGACTTTAAAATTAAATAAGAATTAGTGAACCTCTTTTTTCTCAGTGGTTACCATTAGATCACAATCATGTTTCTTGCCCCAGGAGTTTTGAGCATTGTGGAAAGATACCACACCTGCAGATGACCATGGACCTAGCCATTAAGACATGAGAATACTGCCTCTTCCAGCAACATTTGGCCCTGATATACTGATTAATCTGTTTAAAAAAACCTAACAAAACATAGCAGGCCATGCAAACTCCTTTTCTTCACAGCAGGGTGGTGTTTTTCTTTTTTTGTGTTCCTTGAGCTACATGAACATCTGATCAGTATGCCAAATTATGCATTTAATATTTATGTCACCGGTAAAATGAACATGTAGCCCATTAGAACAGATGTAGCAGAGTGCTGTAATCTGGCTTTTTTTTTTTTAACCTTACAAAACCAAGTAGAGAAAGTGCAAGATATTTCTCCAGCTCTTTTGGTGTGAAATATTCCAGGGATTTAATATTTCTCCAGCACACTAATTGCTGCAGAAGCAAGCCTACGATAACGTGATTAGAAACGGCCTGTGCTGCCAAAGGGCAGACGTACTTGCCAGAAGATGTGGTTAAACTTAGCATTTCCTCAGAACATTTCCCTCTTACAAATAGAGCCAGCTCTGTTCTGAATTTATTTTTCATCCTTAAGCT